CTGATGCAGGGCGAAGTTGGAGGCTTAACCGCCTAAACCAGCCAGGTACCCCTGCCCACATTCTTCTGAAAACACGTCCCTCCTTTCCTGTCACAAGCTGTCTTCCTTTTCTGAATCTTCACAGGATTCCCTTATCCTCACCATTTCTGCTCTAGATTATGATTACTTGCCACTATTTACAATCTCTATTAGAAGATTATAAACTCTAAGGGTACGGAAACAATATTCCCTCTCCCTCTAGGACTTAGTTTCGGCAACAGCACTTGATAAAAGTTTACGAAATAACCAGTGGTTGATGAGTGTTGCTCCACTTCAACACTGCCTCTGCTGATAATCAACAGCCCACCTTGAATATTTGCAGCCTTTCCTTTTCCCACAAACTAAAACCTCCCTCTTCTGAAACCCAGCAGTTCTCTGATCTGGACACCTAGACACTTAAAAGTGCCTAGCTGGGATGGTCCACCTTCCCACTCCGAGGCCTCCTTAAGGTTGGAGACAAGGCTGAACTTTGTGTCTCGCCAGCCCACTGCGCAGAACTTTGTAGGACCAATCTACTGTGCCAAGGAAGGAAAAGGCCACAACGACAAAAAGCTGATCTAACTTAAAATAAAAAAGCACTAGGGGCACCTGGGTGGCTCAGTCAGTTGAGCTTCCCACTCTTGATTTCAGCTCAGGTCATGATCCCAGGGTCACGGGATGGAGCCCCGCACTGGGCTCCCCGCTGGGCAGGGAGACAGCTTGGGATTCTTGCCCTCTCTTTCCCCCTCTGCAACTCTTCCCCGCTTCTGCTCCCTCTCTAAAAATTAAAAAAGTAATAAAAAGTCCCAGTACCTGGGTCAGGAAAGCGCCCCTCCATACTCCCTCCAGGTGTCAAAAGGACACCTTTTGCCCCTCATATCACAAAGTCACCTTCCCAAGCCATTGCCTGTGAAAACGCAAGCCACCGTTACTACTGCCGCTGGAACCCCTCTGCAGGGAGCAGCTGCAAGGGAAAGGAAAATGAGCCTCAAATTCTCTATGAGATAAGGGCATTCAGCCCTTTCAGCATCCGTTCCCCAGGAGGCACCGGGCCTCATTTCGCTTTTCGGGAAACCAAAGAATGGAAAACGACACAATGAGACAACAGTAAGCCGATTCTGGGCGTTCTGGCCCTGGGCCTTCCTTCTCGCGTCCCGGCCTCCCTCACCCGGAAGTGCTGGTCCCGGTACTGGCTCAGCTCCACGTAGGAGTCGCTGCGCAGCGCCTTCAGAAGGCCGCCGGACATAGTGCAGAGAGGTACACGAAGACGCCGCCACTCAGGGATCAACGAGGCAGCCGCGGCGGCGGCGGAAGCGGAAACGCGCTGAAGCGGCCGCAGAAGGTGGATATCCTATGGACCAATCCCTGCGCGGTAGTGTCGTCACGGGGCGGGGCGGGCGCAGACGTGGTCCGTTTTGGGGAGTCGTCGGTCGGAAGCAAGAGCTGTGGCCTCTGGGTTCCGGGTCGCTCCGAGAATGGTTCTTCGGCGGCTCTTGGCCGCGCTGCTCTACAGCCCGCAGCTGGTGGAGCGTCTGTCGGAGTCTAAGCCCATCCGGCGTGCGGCGCAGCTCACAGCCTTCGCACTGCTGCAGGCCCAGCTCCGCGGCCAGGACGCAGCCCGGCGCCTTCGAGCCCTTGCGGCTGGGCCCGCGGGTTCCCTAGGTCGCCGCGCTGCCCGCTTCAAAGACACCTTCACTCAGGAGCTGCGCCGCGGCCTCCGGGACCGCCCGGGGTCACCCCCGGGTAGCCAGAGGGGCCCAGGCGCAAACCCCTAAATCCACGCTGGGCCCGATCAAGGTCACCGGCTTTCCTTTCTGGGCTCGACACAGGCCTCGGCGGTAAGGAGTCACCATGGGCACTGTGCACGGCTTCGAATTCTGACTCAGATTGTCGGCCTTCTGGGGTTCCGTTCATCAGGGAGCCCAGGCCAAACCGACATCCCCGGTGAAGCCCTGTGATCCGACTGGACAATGTGAAGAAAGCCCCGAAGCCTGACAGAAGCAGACAGGCTGCGCCCTGATGTACCGTGTACAGAGAGCTATGAACCAAACCACAGCCGAAAGAGTGCCCTCTGCTAATGGGACTAAAACTCGTGCTAGATGCTGCTACCTCTACACTCACAGAGCAGCGCGCTACTTCCAGGGGGGGAGCATGGATGGAAGGACAAACCTGCAGCTGCCCAAATCCTCTGATTAAATGTATGAGCTGAGTAATGATGTGAGTGTGGTACTTCTCTGGCAAGATGGGCTAGGGTTCCTGGGGACTATGGGCCCATGGTAATACTAGTTAACGCATTTTGAATGCTTATTCTGTGCTGGCACTTGATAATTGCACTCGTGTGGATTATCTCACACTTTACAACCACTTTCATATGAGGAAGTGTAGGTTACATCCTTACAGAGTGGGATGTGAATACATGAGTTTGATTCCAGGGCCTAAGTTCTTAATTACAAATCTCTGCAGCATTTACCCTGACCTTCAATGCCTGCCTTCACCCCAGGACCTTCTTCCTTCAGAAGTTACCACTGGGCGGTAGGACCACTGCCTACCATGGAACAAGCTGCCTGGATTCCTAGTCCCAGTTTTAGAGGGTTTGGGATACAATCAAGACTATGGCCCAGTTAATGGACCCGTGATTAGGAAATCCATGGTATACAGAAATGTCTTGTCATCTGAGGCTTCTGACTGAATTTCTGATTGCCTCTAGTTAGGCTCCACAGCTAATCATGCAATCTAGGGAATTTGAAGCCACAGGAGATGCTTTTAGGCTGGTGACCAGCAAGAATTTATATTTTGGCCTTTCTTATAGTCACAGAGAGGGAGCTGGATATGGCCAGAGACCTCCCATGGGGATGGAGAAGCTAAAGTAGCTTTCCTAATGTTCATGCTTCTGATTTGATATCCCATCAGAGGTGCTGCTATTTAATCCTCTCTGCGGCCAGAAGTTCCATGTCCTGATGACCAGAGTCCTGATTTGGCATCCTACCCCCCTGTCCTATCAAAGGACAAGTCCTTCTCCCAGACCAGAGACAACTCTGGCTTCTTCTTTGAGGCTGTCAATGAGGAGCCTGAAGACCTTGTTCCTTCTACTGCCTTTCTGCCTCATTGGTCTCAATCTCACTCATTTGTCTCTGGATCTCAGAGCAGCAGAATATTAGCGGTCTCCAGCTGGATCCCCTACCCTCAACACAGGTCAGCACATTCAGTGGTAGGTCTTTTTCCAGACTGGCAGAGAGCAAAAGGAAGCATTGCAGGAAGCCATGAAGCTACTAGACAAACTGGCCATTTTGTTAAGAAAGGGAAAAAAAAGCAAGAGAGGGGGACAGTTGTTTATTTCTCATGGAAGAAGTGTATAAGAAGTAAGTTCCCTCCATTTTTGTAGAGGGAGTCCGAGCAGAGAGAGAGAAAACAGAGTCCTTTCTATTCTAGTGACAGGTGATTTAAAAGGCGAAAGATTTATGCGATCTGAAGAGAAACCAGAGTATAGTGACAGGTGATTTAGATGCCTCCGCACGTCATTGGAGAAGCCTCCAGGGATTGCAGTCACTGGCTTGCCATCCCACCAATTACCCTATGACTAAAGAAACAGACCAAATTCTTCCCACCATTCCCAGTGGCAATAATCTTCCATCATGCCTTTCAAGCTCTAAGTTCTGCCAGAAAGTGAAGCAGGAAGCAACTCCTCCTGCTATCCTGCAGGGCAATTCTGATTCAACCCTTGATGCCTCATAGACCTAGATATGAGTACCTTTTTTTTTAAGTGGATTTTTTTTATTTAAGTGTATTTGTTTTGAGAGAGACAGAGACAGCATGAGCGGGAGAGGGGCAGAAAGGGAGAGAGACGGAATCCCAAGCAGGCTTTGCACTGTCATCCCAGAGCGCTGTGTGGGGCTCAAAATCATGAAACTGTGAGATCATGACCTGAGCCGAAACCGAGAATCAGACGCTTAACCGACTGAGCCACCCACGTGCCTCTAGATAACAGCACTTTATGGACAACTGTATTAGAAGTCAGACCGTTAACCATCTACATGGACTGCTATGCCAACAGTTCCTCCAGGGAATTCTGAGACTGTGGATCCAACTCAGGGAAGATGCAGAAATCCCAAGAAGTCCAAAGGAGTTTGGGACCCTGGAGTCTAGAGTGTCTCCAAGGTGGCACTTGGGCTGCAAAGTAAGCAAATAAGTGCCAGAGATGATGTTAGGCACTAAGGATAGGAAGACACATCAGAGGTTCTTAGAAACCTAAACCACAATGGTGGATACTATAGAATTTAAATGAAGGGATACTATAGAATTTGAAGGAGGGAAATGTCCAGTAGTTTGCGAGAGCCAACTTCCACTGGATCCTGAGAGCACATCTTTGGCATCTCCTCCCAACTTGGAGTTCAGTAACATCATTTTGGTAGTTTGAAATCAGCCAAGGTGGGAGTATTTATACCACAAAAATTGGCCAATACTACAAATTGGGGCTTTTTTGCCCCCAGAGAATGGGTTGCTAAACATTTACTAGCATCCACTGACTTTCCTCTTCCTCAGGGTTGGAGTCATGAGGAGGGTGTGGCACTAAGACGAGCAGGAGTCCCAGGGCAGCATGACTCAAAGGGCTGTAGGTTCAAGATGACCCAAGCTTTGGGCACCTCAGTGGCTCAGTCATTAAGCATCTTACTTCAGCTCAGGTCATGACCTTGTTCATGAGCTCCACTTTGGGTGAGCCCCACTTCTCTCTCTTTTCCTCTCTCTCTCTCTCTCTGCCCCTCCTGGGATCTCTCCACCTCCCCCCCCACCCCCGCTCTCAAAAAAAAAAAAAGGGGATGACCCAAGCCTTAGACAGCAGAAGACGGGACTAGAAAAATGCCCAGGTTTGGTCATTTGTATTGTTTTGGTCTCCTGCTCTGTACTGATTTCCAGCTCACTGATTTCTGTGGCCTGGGTGCCTCTTATGAGCTGGTAGAGCTTTGAGCAGGGAGAATGAGGACAGGTTTAGTGCCAGAGCTCCTCGCGTTCCCAGTGGATGGGTACAGGTGCCTTTAGGCGTGGAGAGCATCGTGCGTGGGGCTATGATGGCTTCCACCAGAGCAGGTGTTGGTTTGGCATGGGGTTTGCTCTTCATCCTGTGAAGAGGTTTCAGACGGGGGCTATGAGCTTAGAGAGTGACCAGACCACTTTTAAGAAGTCTCTGGTAGCATCAGATTGCTCTCAAGTGCAACCAGCTACTAAGAGCATTGTGTGTTCTCCATTCCCACTCGGGTGGGCTGAGGAAGGAGAATGGTCTTTAAAGGGTAAGCTGTCCTACCACCTCTCTCATGGACAGGAGTAGAAGAAGGTGGGGAGAAAAGTTCCAGAACTACTTGTCTCGGTAATAACAAAACGCTGAGACAGCAGGCATCAGAGTGCCCTTAAATATACCGCCAGTCTATGCTTAAAGAGCTTTGGGAGAGATATGCATATTTAGCCAGGGGACATGTGCTGCAGACCAAGGCATGCCATAGTGTCAGCTAGCAGAAACCTCAGAGATCCCCTCATCCATTGTACAGATTGGGAACTGAGGCTAGGTGAGGGGGAGGGGCTTTCTTAAGATCACACAGCCAGTGAGTGGCAGGCAAACCAGGGACTAGAACTCTGGTCTCCAGAGTCTGAACTTCCTGGTCTTTCTACATCACCACACTGCCTCCTTCCCAGGTATCTAGGAAGCCAGAGGGTTATCAGGACAGCAGGAAGTAAGGCATCCTGGAAGGTTTGAGAGAGGTCATTCAGGAATGTCATTAGCAGATCTCTCTTTTCATAACCAGGTGCTATTACATGTCACAACACCACAGCGGCTAGAAGAAACAGAGCAGGAACAGACATTAGGCGCCATTGGTTACACCAGTGGTTGGTTCTTTGGGGACTTTCGCATCAGGATTGTGACTGGTCAGATCTTTGGTCTTTAAGGGGAAAAAGGTGCCAGCTTACCCCGAAGGTAGAGCAGCCAAAGCCTATGCACAGGAGAGGCAGTGGTGGGAATTCTGGAAGGGAAAGGAAAGGAAGAGAATCAGGGCTCTGTCCCAGCCCAGCTACCCACATAGAAGGTGGAATGGTGCCTTCACCTATGGCTGGATCTTAGGCAGTGACTTTTCTGTCACGTTGTCAGGCTTTTCCCCCAGTTCCAAGATGTGAAGGCTGAGATGGTCCCTCCAAGCCCCACTCAACAGAGAGGACAGGGCTGGCGGGTCTTCCAGGGTCAAGTGGGGAAACAGGAGTGCCTCACTCTTGAGAGGGAAATGGCACTTCTCCATGGCAGGCCTGGTGGTGCCAGGAGTCACCACAAAAAGGCGGCAGACCCACGGCCCACCAGCCACCTGGCAGGCTGGTTGTCTGGTGAAGTTGTTCAGGGCTCGGCACAGGACCCAGTCCTCCGTCCCACCCATGTCCACCACCTCCACAGCTGAGCCCAGGCCCGGGAGGTGCAGGAGGTGCCGGGGGGGCATGTAGGTGTGGGTGAAGAGGAGTGTGTAGTGGGTAGGCATGCTTGGGAGCACGGGTGCGTGAACCACCTGCTCCAGGTGCTCCAGGCCAGGCACCAGGCCTCCCTGGTGCAGGCAGCCGAAGAAGAGGGCGCCCAGGCTGTTGAAGAGGACCAGGGTGCCCTTGCAGGGCACAGATTGGGCCTGTGGACTGCAAAGCAGGACTAGGGGGACCAGGAGGGGGATCAGGAACCTAGCCTCCTGGTGGCTAAAGGCAGACAGCAGGGCCAGAGGCATGAAGTAGAGGAGCAGGAGGCAAGGCCTGGGGCTGGACAGCAGGCTCCAGCCGCCCAGAGCCCGCGGGAAGCCCGTTCGTGCAAAGGCCTGGAGGCAGGCTTGCAGCTGTTGCCACGCAGCCTGCAGGGCCCGGGCATGCAGCATCCCAAAGAGCAGGAAACCATTGACGGCCAGGTGAGTCAGCCGCATGTGTGTGCCATGCCTCGCCAGGTTTTGAGGATCCAGGTTGTAGTACAAGAAGTTGGCGGGTGTCAGAACAAGGGTAGTGGATCTAGATGGACTGGAGAAATACCAGCTGTCCACAGCCACAAACATCGCTGCCACGAGGGTTGCCCCTGGGAGCAGCTCCAGGGCTTCCTTCGTCAGTGACTTGAAGCCAGGGTTTGTGGCTCCACAAATGCTCCAGAGGAAGAGTGGGACCAGAGCAAAGGCCAGAAACGTGGGCCGGTTGAAGAAGCCGGCAGCCACGACGCCCCCGAGAAGCCAGCTGTGCCACCAGGGGCCTGGAGCAGGCTTCTTGGGTGTGGGGCTCCAAGCTAACCGGGGGGACACCAGCACCAGCAGCCCGGCAAAGAGCAGTCCCTCGATGGTGTTGGAGAAGGTCCTTGTGTAGAAGACCAGAGTGACGTAGGAACCAGACAGCAGGACCAGGGCGTTCCAGCGCTCCGCCCCCCACAGCGGGGCCAGGTGGTACACGGCCACGTCCAGGGCAAAGGAGAGGGCAGTGAGGAGGAGCCGGGGTCCCACCAGCAGCACGTAGCCGCTCACCGGGCCCGGCCATGGCCCCCACTGTTCCCAGAGCCTGAGCAGCCAGAAGGCAGAGCCGGAGGTCAGCAGTGGGAAGACCACCGTGCGGCAGGAGCTGGTGGGGTGAAACTCCCATGGCCGTGCAGCTTCTATACCCAGGATGTCCTCTGCGGACAGAGAAGTGGAGATGAGCCAGGTCCAAGCTCAGGGCACGTGGGAGACAAAATTCTAGGATGGCCCCGAGATTTTCCCAGCCGCTAGTGAACATGGCCTGCACGATCCCTGGGACTCTGAAGATGGTGGCTGTCACTCCTGTGGTTAGGTTATGTCACAGAGCATGGCTGACCATTAGACAGGGGGTAACCCCATGTGGGCCCGACGTAACCACACGAGCCTTTTGAAAGCAAAGAGTTTTCTCAGCTGGTGGTGGAAGAGGACATCAGAGAATCAAACCATGGGGATTTGGTGCACCACTGCTGGCTCAAAGGTGGAGGGCCCCTGGCAGGGAATGTGGGTGGCCTCCAGTTCCATAGCGGCAAATTTGTCCAACTGACAAGAATGAGCCTCGAAGCAGATTTCCCCCCAGAGCTTCCAGACAAGATCTCAGCCTGGCCCAGACCTTGATTTCAGACTTGTGACACGCTGAGCGGAGAGCCCCTACCTGACTTCTGATTTACAGAACCATGATTTATTAAGCAGCAACAGAAATGAACATAGGGAGCTCAGCCCTTCCGAGGTCCCCCTGTGAAGGGGGCAGGAGGAACCATGCCTGGGAAGTGAGGGGACACTGTGCCCTGGGCAGGGTGTGGGGAGAGCAGGGGGAGGCTCCAGTCCGCAGAGTGCTAAAGCCTCCAACATCAGAGCCAAAAACCCGTCTCTGTGATGATGGTTGTCATCTAGGACAGGCATGTGAGACAGGGGAAGGAAACGAGCGGTTGTGGTTAAGGTCAGAAGTGACTTCAGTGTTGCCTATGATACTTAAGATTTTTAGAAGAAAAATGTATTCAAGCAGTACTTATGTAATTAACCTGCTTGCTGCCCAGGGCTGGTCTGTGCCCCTGTGCCCCAGTGTCCCAGAGCTCTGAGGGGTGGGTGAGGGAAACCAACTCTTAATTTCTGCATCTCAGCTCCAAGCCCCACAATATCTCATGCCTGATTAACACTGCTGGCTGTTTAGGGCTCTTTGCTTCTCCTACTTATTTTACTTATTCCTGTGGCCTCTTGGCTGTTTTCTCTTTCTATGTCAGAAGGTGAAAGGGAAACAGAAAATCTAGGATCAGATCAACCTAGCTGCCTTTTGTTAGTGGCCAGGTTTTTAAAAAGTGTGGAAAAGACTGGACCTTTCACCTTAAGAAATGAATCCACCTGTTGAGCCCTATGACAGAGATAGATGCATGCCTCCCCAATATCCATCCATTCCCTCCCTCTTTCCTTTCTTCTCTCCTTCCTTCCCTCCCTCCCTCCCTCCCTTCCTTCTTTCTTCCTTCCCTCCCTCCCTTCCTTCATGTCTTTAGTTGGGCATTTGGTCAGATATAAAGAGTATTTTTCAGGGGCACCCGGCTGGCTTAGTCAGTGGAGCATGTGACTCTTGATCTTGTGGTTGTAAGTTTGAGTCCCACAATGGGTGCAGAGATGACTTAAAAATAAAATCTTTATGGGGGGCCTGGAATTGACTCGATCAGTTGGAGCATCCGCTCTGGTTTCTAGCCTCAGGTTGTATTCTCACCAGTTCTAGGTGGGGTTCCTGAAACCCCACATCAGGCTCCATGCTGATATTCAGAGCCTGCTTGGGACTCTCTCTCTCTCCCTCTCTCTCTGCCCCTCCCCTGCTCTCTCTCCTCCCAAAAATAAATGACAACTTTTCTTTAAAACATAAAATAAAATCTTTAGGGGCTTTTTTGTTGCTCGTCAGTTAAGCATCCAACACTCAGATGTGATCTCACTGAATATGAGTTTGGAGGCCTGTGTTGAGCTTTCTGTGCAGCAGCTCAGGCCTGGAGCCTCACTAGAGATTCATGTCTCCCTCTCTCTCTCACCATCTGCCACTTTCTTTAAGCTCTCTGCCTCTCTTTCTCAAAATTAACCAATTAAGAGGCAAGGGGCGCCTGGGTGGCTCGGTTGAAGGCGTCCAACTTGGCTCAGGAGTCATGATCTCACACGGTTAGGTGGGTTGAGCCCACTTGGGTTTCTTTGACAGCTCAGAGCCTGGAGCCTGCTTCAGATTCTGTATGTCCCTTTCTCTCTGACCCTCCTTCATGCTGCTCTCATCTCTCTGTGTATAAAAATAAATAAACATTAAAAAAATTAAAAAAAAATTTTTTTTAAATTAAAAAAATAAAAAATAAAATAAAATCTTAAAAAAAAAAGACTATTTTTCAGCATCCTTTGCAACTGGGTGTGGTCATGTAATACATCCTGACCAATGGCATGGAAATGAGCAAAAAGTATATGACATTCAAAATATGTCCATTAAAGAGAGCAGGCGTGCCCATCTCCTTTCCAATAGCTGGAAAGACTTGATTTTAGACTTGATGGCTGGAGCTCAAGTAGCCATCTTGAACCATGAGAAAGAAGCCATGTGCCCACAGCATCTGAAAAGCCTCAAGGTCTCTGGCAACCATCCTCATGATGTGTCCTACACCACCCAGCAGATACGTTCTAACAAGTGAGCATTCCAGGCCTGGATTCCCTCAGCCCTTATATGAACCCAGAGAAGAAAAGTTTCATGATCTCAGACCACATCCTGTGTAAGTTTCCCTAAGCATCTGGGAAGCCCAACTCTAAAACCTCTCCACTGAATAGTACAAAACTGCTTTCATTCAGAATAACCTGTGCTGTTGGTCCAAGCAGGAAAACATCAGAGGCTGGCATTTTCTTAGTATCATCCAGAAAATCAATGTCACCAGTCAGGGAGGAGATGCGAAATCCCCACTCCCAAGTTCTCACTCCAGAGAGGCTCATGGAATTACTACTCGTCCACACAGACATGTTTCTCCCTCCCCACTGAATATCCAATCAGCAATAGTCCAGACTCTGTGGCAACTTATCCTAACCGCACACAGGGAGCTTACCTGCCATGACCTCAGGGGACTGGAAGAACTCATCTGGGTGCACATAGCCCGTCTGCGGAAGGAGACACCACAGCAGACGGAGCAGGCTGAGGCTGCCCCACAGGGCCCTGAGTGCCATCTTCAGGTCAAACTGCTGCCAAGACACTGGGCCAAGAGCCTAGAATGGCTTCTCAGTTGCTCCAGACGCAATTCTGGTTCCACAGATCTGCATCTGCTGACAATAGCGTTTGTTAGTTATAAGGTAAATTATAATACGTCCAATTGCCTGGACAAACTCAAAATGGGTTTACATACAATAAAAATGTTAATAATAGCTGCTATTTACTAAGTGCCCGTTAAGTAGTAGGCACTTAACACCCATATCTCATTTTGTCCTTTCTACATTTCGGGGCAGTGGGTCTTATTATCTCCATTTTACATATAGGGAAAGTGAGACCTCTGTTGAATGACCTGGTCACTGCTAACCATATTTGTTAAGAGTCTATCTGCAAATAGGATCTGCAGACCCTCCAAATATGGTTCTCACAGCCCCATCCTGTTCACCAGCTCCTGTCCACAGGCACGGCAGCCTGTCTCTTGCCCATGTGAAATCTGTCGGAACCTCAATGCATTCCATCCATTTCCCTGCAAACATAAAATACATTTGACCCCATTGTCTCCAGTCACTCCCTCCAACCTTCACACACCCTGAAATTGACCTTTCGGAAGGTGATAAGAACTTACTGCCTGAATGTTTGTGCCCTGCCCCATTCATATGTTGAAATCCGAATGCCCAGATGTAATAATGTCAGAAAGGTGGGGCCTTCGGGAGGGAGCCCTCCTGAATAGGATTAGTGTTCTTATAAAAGAGATCCTCATCCTCTCCAACGTGTGAGGGCACCTTGGGAAAGTGTGGACTATGTGCCAGGGAGAGGGCCCCTCACCATGCCCACGCCTTGATTTTGGACTTCCCAGGCTCTAGAACTGCGAGAAATAAATTCTGTGGTTTATAAGCCACCCAGTCTGTGTATTTTGTTATAGCAGCCTGGGCACACAAAGACACTTTCTCTTGCTCAGGATTCTCACTCCCTGGACTCAAAAATCAGTAGGAATCTGAGCCCTTTACATGATGAACCTATATATCAGCACCCACATATCATCCCTGGTGAACAGAAAAACAAGTTTGACTCTCTTCCAAGAATACATATGGTGACTGTTTCCTGACTTTGATATTTTATTAAGGTATTTATTTATTTATTTATTTATTTATTTATTTATTTATTTATCATTTGGAGACAGAGTGAAAAGGGAAGAGGGGTCGAGAGAAGGGGGATACAGAGTATCCAAAGCAGGTTCTGTACTGACAGCAGACAGCCCAATGCAGGGCTTGAACTCACAAACCATGAGACCATGACCTGAGCCAAAGTCAGACGCTTAACGACTGAGCCACCCAGGCGCCCATATATTTTAAAGCCTGACCTTAAACAGCTATTGTTCTCAGGTGGAATATGTCATAGCAGGGATGAGACAGGGAAGCAACAGAACAGGAATCTAGCAGATCCTGACAAGGAGCCTCTTGACACTCACTAACACTTCAAGGAGTTTGAAAGATAACTTTTTGCAGCCTCTCCTCGAACTTTCGAACTGAATTGTACAGACTCTTTTTCCAGAACCAGTGACTATCCTGACTTTTAGAGATAAGGTGAGGCCAAACTTAATGCTGGAGTGCAGGCAAGGATCCCATTCCTTCCCAATCAATGCCTGAAAGAGAACTTCAAGTACCTCCATTTTGACCTTAGTCTGTACTTTCTAACAGATCAAATTCTTCTTTCCAGCTTATCCCTTAACTCAGGCAAGAGACCTTGTGGGCAAAGCATCCCGTGGTGGGAACCAAAGCTACCCCTTCATGAAAGCAATAAGGACTGCCCTGAGCCAGCAAGACCCCTTGTGACTGACCCCAAGACAATGATCTACCTGACCTTTACTGCCCACCCGCATGTACCCACAATGTTAGTCCCCTGTCTCCCCAGTGCTGGCCTCCCTGAAATAAGTTCCTTTTCTGTTTCAACCACACTTGTCTCTCTGCCTTTGGATTTTGTCAGTGGTGAGTGACTGAATCTGGTCTGTTTCGGATCCTCGGAGCTAGGAGCTCTTGCACCTCTGTGCCCTGGTTACATGCCCTCACTTTAACTTTCTTTCCAGGCTGGAATTCAAAGTGCACTGTAATTTAACAGCTCACAGGATGATGTTACGGGTTTGGTTTTCAGCAGTTTCAGCCCTGCAGGTAATAGGGGAGAAGGGTCTCTTTCAGGGCATGCAAAAGTCATTTTATGAGGACCTTGAGCTGGGAATTTGAAGCCCAGCAAAGGCATCATATACATGTCACCCAAAACCTTCCCTGGGGTATCTCTAATGCCACATCACTCCATGGACTACCAGTGCCCTCGTTACCACTTGAAATAGAGTCATTTAAATCTAATCAGGCTAGGGGCACCTGGGTGGCTCAGTTGGTTAAGTGTCCAACTTCAGCTCAGGTCACGATCTCACAGTTCGTGCATTTGAGCCCCGTGTCGGGCTCTGTGCTGACAGCCCAGAGCCTGGAACCTGCTTCAGATTCTGTGTCTCCCTCTCTCTCTGCCCCTCCCCTGCTCTCTCTCTCTCTCTCTCTCAAAGATAAACATTTAAAAAAATCAAATACAATCAGGCTAGAGAACCAATTCTAGAAAACCCAGAACCTCTATTCAAAAAATTCATCTTTAAGATTCTGTTCTTCTAGAACCCTTACAGTAACAAAATCTTAGTCAGTGTTCAACCAGAGAAAGAGAACTGGTAGGAGATATACATTAAGATTTACTGCAAGGAATTGGTTTATGCACTTGGGGGGGGGTTGGCTAGGCAAATCTGAAGTCGATAGGGTAGACTGTTAGGAAGACCAGGAAACTCTAGGGAGGAGATAAAGCTGTAGTCTGTAGAGGAGGGGAGCTTCTTGTTCGGGAACACCTTGGTTCGTTCCAAAGGCCTTTCAACTGATTCTCTCAGGTCTACACAGATTATCTAGAATAACGTCCCTTATTTATTTTTTTAATTTTTTTTTAATGTTTATTTATTTTTGGGACAGAGAGAGACAGAGCATGAATGGGGGAGAGTCAGAGAGAGGGAGACACAGAATCTGAAACAGGCTCCAGGCTCTGAGCTGTCAGCACAGAGCCCGACGTGGGGCTCAAACTCACGGACCGTGAGATCATGACCTGAGCTGAAGTCGGACACTTAACCGACTGAGCCACCCAGGCACCCCTAACGTCCCTTATTTAAAGTCAAATGTTTGTGGACCTTTACTGCATCTACAAAATACCTTCACAACAACATTTAGATTCATGTTTGATTGACTAACTGGGGACTATCGCTTAGTCAAGTTGACACATACAAAAACGGACTATCACATTCTAAATAATTCAGTGTTTATAACTGTGTTTGCATTTTAGACCAACAGGAGAATTCTTTATGCAACTTACCAGTGACTCACTTCTTCTACTCAACATTCTGTTAATGGTGTTCCCTGTAGCTGTAGTTCCCCTGTGGTATTCCACTGGAGATATAGATAGAGATATAGACTAAAATTTACTTATTCTTCTTACTGTTGTTTATCTACTAGAGCATCTCTGAGTGTTGACAAATTTTTCTATTCCTACGAATGCTGCTGCTACAAACATTCTTATACAGGAGTTCTCTGACGTACATATATAGAAATGGAACCCCTGAGTCTTGGGTGTGCAGGCTTTCAACTTCATTAAAGAATGCCCAACTGTTTTTCCAAAGGTCCTGCCAGCCAGCAGATATTATAGTGCCCACTGCTTCATATGCTCCTTTATGCTTGGGATTCTCTAACATTTTGATTTTGTGAATCTTTTGGGTATTTACATGCATTTCCCTGAATACCAGTGCGGTCGAACACCTTTCAAATGTTTGTGGAACATTTTTGTCCTTCTGTGGAAATCCTTCTGACCATTTTTTCTTAGTATGTGTAGGAATTCTTTTTTTTT